GAGGGGAGGGGAGGGGAGGGAGAGGGGTAGGAAGCAGGTATAAAAGATGACTATAGATAACATGGCCTAGAAAAGAGCATGTGCAATTACACAGAGAAGACAAGAAATTATCCAGCAAATTAACCCCTGTGGGTAGTCTGAACTCCTTGAGGCATCTAGAGATGACAAGAAAGCACCTGGGCCATGGAGACCGACAGTTAAGCCTATAAGGTAAGTATTCTGGCCAAAGAAGAAACCACTAAACAATGCGCCAGAAGCTTGGCATATCCTAGGCTGGCAGGACCCCTGGGGAAGTCTTCAGCTATACCATGTGTACAGGGTTAAGAGCATTTTCACAAAAGAACTCTGGGTAGAATACAGAAATGCTTAAGAAAAAGGGTTTGGGTTATCAAACTTAGAGTACAAGAAAATGTGTACCTAGGTCAGCAATACCCTGCAACACAGTGACTTCTGTGTTTTTACAAAAACCGATTTTACATACCTGTGTCCATCAAGCCTTATGTTTCCAACAAAATCGTAGAGATGTCTGTTTGGACTTTCACACTCAATTCTGCCAGAAATTCTCATCAAACTGTCAATGTCTTTTATATCTGATGTTGCTGGTAAGCCCTGTTTAGAAAGTTTTAAATAAGCAAAGAAAATATTAAATAAGTTGTATGTGGGAGGGAGCAGGGAATTCTGAATTCATCCACGCCTTAAGATCTAAGAGATCCCACGGTTTTATAAGCAATTATCCCCCCCCACCTTTGTCAAATCAAAATTAGGGGATACCTTCCTCTCTACTTGAACATATATGTTTTTAGCAGAACAGGGCAGCTTTCCTGAAAACTCTAAAATATCTTAGAGATTATAAACTAGCCTCCAAAGATATTTTGAAATAACTCCACAAAGAACTGTTTGCTTCCAAAAATAAAACTAATATTTAGCATTATACAGTCTAAATCTGTCTGCTGAATCTCAAAAAGGGAATGCAAAATAACTAGAATCTATACCCTAAGACAGTAGTTATGTTTTTGTTCTTTTAGTTCACTGAGAAGGAAAACTCCAAAACAGTTCCTCCCTCTGGCCACCTACAACTGGCTGGAACTGAGCAGCCGGTGGCAGGTTGAGTTCAGGTGCTGTGAGGATGACCTGCTTCTACCACAACCCAACCTTCCCACATGTCATTTTCACTATTTATCTAGAACCCAAGACAATACATTTTTTCAATGTCCCTTTTAAAACTTTAAAAACCTTACAGTGACTTTCTATTAGGAGTGGTATGAGAAATAAATAGAGAAATCTAACTGATTCCCTGAGATTAGTGAGAATATTAGAACAGCAATGGAAACTGTGTCTTTTCCATATGGCAAAGGCAAATAATATCGGCCAGGAGAACAGAAAAATAAATAAGCTAACACACATGAAAGCACTTAGAGCTACTAATGCTATCATCAGAGTGTTGGCTATAACAGAAAATGTTAAAAATATTACAGAATAGTATCTATATGATGGACCACATTAAATTAGGCAAGTAAAACTGAATTTTCCATAATATGTAACTATTTCAGTTTATAAAACCACTTCATTGCAGCTCAATGAGGAAATATTTGCAAGTAGACAGAACTGCCTCAACTCAAGACAATAATACTAAGAAATAAAGCTATAGGGGTTCAGAAGGAGCCTCCTCAAAATGTGTCACTTTTGGAGCTTCCCTGGTGGCGCAGTGGTTGAGAATCTGCCTGCTAATGCAGGGGACATGGGTTTGAGCCCTGGTCTGGGAGGATCCCACATGCCGCGGAGCAACTAGGCCCGTGAGCCACAACTACTGAGCCTGCGCGCCTGGAGCCTGTGCTCCGCAACGAGAGGCCGCGACAGTGAGAGGCCCGCGCACCGCGATGAAGAGTGGCCCCTGCTTGCCACAACTGGAGAAAGCCCTCGCACAGAAACGAAGACCCAACACAGCCAAAAATAAATTAATAAAATCCTACCCCCAACATCTAAAAAAATGTGTCACTTTTGCATGAGGGTTATTTTGAGCTACAGGCAATGGAGATCCTGAAGGTTCAAGAGAAACTACTGTCCTTCCCTTAACTACCTAGAAGAATTTAAATTGGGGATTTTTCCCAGAGAAAAGTTATTACCAGAGATAAATTTTATTTAAGTGGACCCATGCATCTGGCAGGGCAAACACCTAATTACCAAACATCTGCTCTTCTTATCATCCTATGAATGACCCTCCTGTCCTTGGAAGCCCCAGGACCCTTATCCCATTCCTCACCTCAGAATGGCATGTATACCTCATTTTACCTTTCTGTTTCTGAGCCTCTCATGCATGTGGGGTTCCTATACGTATGAAATTAAATTTGATTTTCTCCTGTTAATATGTCTCATGTCAATTTAATCCTTAGACCAGCCAGAAGAATGTAGAAGGGTAGAGGGAAGTTTTCTTCCTCCCCAGCAAAGCTCTCAATTCCATGTAAGAGGACAGCAATAATTATATAAACCTATATTAGATCTTACCTGTCTGATTTTCAAGTTTGTTTCACCATCTAAGTTGGATGTTTCAATGTAGCACATGGCCTGTGGCTCACTGTTTTTTAAAATTGAAAAGCACAAAGATTTAGTGGGGGAAAGAAAGCATAATAATAACTTATTTAAATGCTCAGACTCACTGAAGCCTTTCATTCTAAACAAAGTTTTAGTCGCCTAGTTTCTTGATGTCTTTCATTCTAACCACAAAATGCTGTGAGGCAGACCCCATGCATGAAATCAGATGTGCAGCCAGCAGGACCCCAAAGCAACTTCCTGACAATTAGTACTGATGTTTAAGATAATGTAAATAATTAGATTTGTCACATTTTACTTAAATTGTTCATCATATAGACACAACACAGACTGTATCTGAAATGTAAAGCAGTTTTGTGTCCATATATATCTTTAGCTCAAAAATATCAAGTGAGATTTCATGCTCATAGCCCACATGTAAATTGATTAAGCAGTGGATTAGAAAATTCCAGATTATTGCTTCTATAAACTTGCATTTACATGTTCAGATTGTATTGTACTACATCTTTAGAAAAGATGAATAGGATCATATGAACCATAGTATTTACATTTCAAGGCTACTTTAAAAAAACTGTATGAACAGATTTTACAATGAAAGTGGATATACACTTTCTTCCCCCTATTTTTTCTGTTTTATTTCTTAAAGTTGCTTCAGAGATTTGCATGGCAGCAAAAGCTAAAACTAAAATTAGCCAACTTGGCTATGTTGCTCCTTGACCTGAAACTAGGAGATACATTCTACGGGTCCCCACCAGAGTGTTTTAGTCAAGTTTGGTAAACAATGACTGGTATAAGAGGCCCATGCTCTCCAGTTTTATCACAGGTACACACCCGTGACTGTTGTATAACCTGACCCTTCACGCGCTGACTTTGCTTGCTCAGCAATTACAGACAGGTGACTTTGCAGCCCAACTGTATAACTGATCCTCAGCTATAAGGAAAAGCATTGTGAAGTTAAATTAACCTTATTAGCACTTGCTTATATAAAAAGCCCAATTAATTAACATCCTATAAGTAATTATGAATGTAATTTCTGATAAGCATGGGTACTCACAGTTAGAAATTTCTAAGTCACTAACACCTGGAATTTTCTAATCAACTTCCAATTTGTACATGTGTAAAGCAGACGATTCTGAGTTTCAGAAATGAGCACAAAGCTTAGTTTTATGGCTTGAAGACTTGTGAAAAGTACTGAAACACATGGTCATTAATCAAATATTTTACAGATTCATTTTAAAGTAACTTTGCAAGTTCTTTAATTTTTCTCTATGGGCTTTTTTTTTTCTTCCATAAAGGCTGATACTTTTTCCCAACCAAGTTTTGGGAAAACAAGTTTTTCAATATTTATATTTTCACTCTATCAATTAAATAAGGTTTAATTTTTTATTACTGTCATGATAGTAATTTGGTTTTGGCAATTGCTCCCAATTTGTAATTTACTTACATATATATTTGAAATAAAAATGGTTTATAAAACCATTATAAAACACATCTGATAATACAGAACCATGATGACAAACAAATGTTAAATGAACAATGCCAATTCCATATTTTGACAGTGAAATGCATTAAATTTCTACTGCTCAATATAACCAAGGCCATTCTCATATCAAAATAAGACTAACGTTCTAATTCTATCTTTTTTTCCCCCACAAAATAAGGTCCTTTTCTAGGACCTTAAATGGCTAGGAAGTTAGACAGTTAAATAGCTGGCTTCTATTTGAAGTGGTGCAAATAAAATATACATCCAAATTAAAAACTTTCTTAATCTCTTAAGACAACTGTTACTGAATAAGTTCTTGACAATACTATGAAAAGGCAACAAGAAGTCCCAGACAAGGAATCATGCTAGATAATAATTATTTCAGCAAATTATGATGACATTCAAAACACAAACTAGAGAAGGGCAAAGCAGGCTTTTTGATTAGTAAGTGGAAAAATGAAACAAGATGCATATCACAATACAGACACTAGTAGACAGCTGAAATATATCAGAGTAACGTGCATTTTGTCACTAGTTACAAGTGGGATAAAAACTGATCCCAAAGCATGCGGTACCAAATGTACAACATCCAGCTTTGTGCAGGGGGTCCTCTGTAAACCCTATACAAGCCCAAATTATAGCATAACTGCTGAAGGGATTCTATTGAACTTATAGAATATTTCAAATTTAAGACATGTTTAAAATTGTAAAAATTTCTCGATAACTGGCTTTCATGTAAATCTTAACATTGTGCAAAACAATATCCTGGAGAGGTAATAAATTAAGCCTTAGCATTTAGCCAAGTTGTTAAATATGAATATATTGTAATGATGCATAGGCAATTACAATCTACCTTTACTGGCATGCCTCAAGGACTCTGACTCCTATTGATGACAACAGGAGCTGAATTTGCCCACTTGAGGGAAGAACGTCAATCAACAATGTATTCAAAAAAAGCCTTTGAAACATCTGTAAAACATCCATCACCAAGAAGTATAAAATGTTTGTGTTTTAACGGAAGAGATAAGAGGTCAACCACCTCTGGGTGCAAACTGTTTTCTGGTGTAGGGTGAGGATCCACATACACACATCCTGTACAACTCAGTGGTTCTAACCTTGAGGACAAGCTGATGAGATCTGCTGGGAGATGTTCCCCATTGGTCACTTTCACTATTTCCCCTACTGCCACCTACAGGTCCCAGTTCAAAATAATTAAAACGGAAAAAAATGAATAACAGAGAAAAACAAACAAACAAATGGACAAAAGAGACAGAAGGTTTGAAATTATTATAGAAAATAATACATGTTAATAATAATGTCTAATGCCAATTTTTTCAAAACTCATTTTGATCAGGTCTAATGGCACAAGAAAACAGAATATTTAAGGATCATTTATTTGCTTTTAAGCCCAGTTTTCAATTTTTAATGCAGAAGCTTTTGAGTTCTAAAGTTTTACTCACAAGCATATCTTAGCAAATTAAATAAAAACATATTTTTCTACGGAGAGCTACTTTATCTTATAGATTTTCCTTTCTCCAATTCTTCACTCTCTTGCCATCTCTTACATGTCCACTCCTACCCAAGAAGAAAAGAAATAATGGTGGAAACTATTCTTAGGCTTTTGAGAAACAAAGTATACTATATTATTTCTCCCCCTACACCCACTCTAAAAAAAAAACTTTGTTAAAGTTTCCTGATTCCAAAACATTTTCAAAGTTAACTGCATAAATATCTTAATAAATTTAATGTAAAGTTGCAAAGGCATGGATCTTGGGAAGTTAGAAGTCATAATTGCAGCCTTTTGAATTATTTAATAATAAATAAAGTCTTGGTAATGAATTGTTTTGGGAGGGTAAGCCTTTGAATTCAGTAGAAAATTTTCAGAGAAGGTATGAAACAGACATGCCAGGAACCTGTTTGGAATTGAATTAGTAGCTTGAGTTATTTTACTGTATTTTATACTTTCTAAACCCATATACGTATTTTTTGTTATATGGTAAAATTTCAGTTTCTTCATTTCAAAATGAAAATCAATGAAACACAGTAACTTTCAACCATGTTCATGCTTTAATTTCAAACTACTTCAAAGAACATGCAATATTAGCAATTAATAATTTTTTAAAAATCAGAAATTAAAATATCATAAACTGTTGTTTATGCTTTTTGCATTTAGCATGGTGCTCACTTGCCGGTGAAAATCACCATGTCCTTATTCTGATAGTGGACAGTGTAGTATACTGAAGATACTAGATTAGTATCTAGTTGGAATTAGTATCTAGTTGGAATTCCAATTAGTTGGAAGTTAGGTATTCCAACCCTGACCTAGTCACTGGCTAAAGTGTCAAAATTCCTCTTTCTGTTAAATGATGGCAAAAGCTTCTACCTAATTCTTAAGGCTAATGTAAGTTCAAAAGAGCCAAGTAATGCAAAAACCTTTTGAGAAAAAAAATTTTTTTAAAAAACCAACAAAACCCTCCCCGAAAGGTGGTATTTTGCCACTTGGATAGGAATATTTAACAGCACAAGCTTTATACTTTACTTTGATTCTATTTTAACAAAAAGCAATGAATCAGATAATATTTTTAATTTTTAAATGATTATTTGAATCATCTTTGAAGAAGTTAGTCATGGTGGATGCTATATTAAGATATAGAAACCATTCTCATCTACCATTATCGATAGTCACCAGTAAATGTTTTTAATGCTGAGAAAATAAATCCTGTAAAAATGTTTTAGAGTTTAAGAAATACAAGCACAGAGCTTACTGGGAGCCTGGATTGGATAGAGGCAGATAAAAAATATTTTGAAAACTTTCAACTTAGAATTAAATATCAAGTCAAGGCAGTATAGTCAATTATCTTCATATTTTTGAGCATAAAAAATGAAAATTATAATTAATGTTTCAGCATATGATGGTCTTTATGGTAAGTTATGTCTCTATGAAAAGTTTAATCAGAAAAATATCACTAGTTTCTTAAATTGCTGGAATGCTTTACTATCCTTTTGAACTTTGTTATATGACATTCAGATGGTCCATCATCCATTAAATTTATCAAACTTTTACTTAGTATCACCAAGTGTACATCGTTCTGTTGGTTAGCCATTCTTAAAACTTAAATGAAAGATTATCAATTTAAACAGAAAGGAGAATCAGGGAGTTACTTCAACTACCTGTAGACTTACTTCTATAAACATCTGGAGAACTCTTACTTGCTCAATTAAGTTTCACTAACTTGTCATAAATTCAATCAGTTTAAATAATGACCTGATTAAACAGATTTTGAAAAAAGGACACGTTCATATTTATATGTGAATTTTACAAATAAAACCGTCCAAGGAAATGGTGATAAACAACCTCTAAAATAGTAAAAACATTTTTCTTAATTTATATTAGGACTAGTTTTACAGTTTTTAAACCTAAAACCATTTGAAAGTCACATTCTTTAAAGTGTAACAGTGCCATATGTTCTGAATACTAATTCACGACTATCTTAAATATCAGCAAAACAAAAATTATCTAAATTCAGTAATGGAAAGAACTTAAAGAGCAAAGTGCTTTAATTTTTTGGTTGGAAGAGTATAATATTTCAAAAGATATGATGATAAAAAAGAAATCATTTATCCATTTTCTTGTACCAATGCACCATAAAGATTGAGAAACGTGGAGGGATACACGAATGCATCATAAAGGAATTTATCATGAACAAGGATTACAAGATAAAATCAACAGAACCCAATCCATGTATTATATAAAATAAATGATAGGAAATCTTACAAGAGTTAGTAGTCTACACAAACAGATATGGACATATCCATACGGAGAGTAGACTCTTAACTGTAATTATAATTTCTGAATTATAAAGTATAGTACCTATCACTTATTCTATATGGCAAACATGAAAGAGTCCTTTAAATCCAATCAATTTTTAACATTTAATTCAAAATCGTTAGAGAGGTTTAAAATTCTTCGTTTATTCCTTATTTCCTTGGATAAATCACAAGGTCAATGCAGGGTAGAGAAACCATCCTCTACACTGTTTGAGCATCAGTAGGTATCTCTACCTTGATGAGAGAAGTACAGTGTCAGCAGGTATATACTCTTTGCCTTTTATTATAACTATATCTCCAACATTTACCTGAAAGAAAACTGGGAATCGGTTAATTATCTGCATTGAAAATAGTTACAAATATACAACCCATTGTATTTAAGCATAGAATACAGTAAAAATGGTTATTGGTAAACAAGAACCACTTATCTTCACAAAACGGCATAAAATTATTTAGGAGTGAGGCCAAGGATGGGGCAATCCTTTAAAAAACAAACATTGTATCTTTATTGTACCAGCTATATAACCTAGCTTAATAAAAATAAATTTTATCCATTCTATCCACTTAATTGGCATCTCATCTTCTCATTATTCTCTCCCTATGACATAAAAATAAAAAGCAGGAATTTACCAAATGAAATCTTCACTCTGTTTAAGGAAATCTCAAAACTCCTAGAAAGACTATCATATGTATATATATGATACTACTCCTCAGATGACCTTAGTTATAATTCATAATTTAGAGAGGAAGAAAATGAGTCTTTGATTCTAAGTTATTTCCCAAGATCACAGAGGAAGAGCTTAGACTCAAACCCACATCTGACTGTCTGCAAAGCCTGATTTTGCATAAGCAAATATAATGAAACGATCACTGTATTTTAAATTAAAAAAAAAAAAAAAACAGCTTAGTCTCTTTCTCATTTTACTACCTGTTAGCATTTTTGTGAGCATGGTCTGAAGACAAATTAAAGATAAACTATGTCCAGAAACTTAGAAGTAATTTAAGGGATGGGTTTGTCACAGAGCTTTTGGCAAACTAATTAACAAGTTGGCTTGCTGACCAAGTTCAGCAAGTTACACTGATGGCCACACTCCCATTATATTATGGAAGTTGCCCTCACTTTTAGTAGCCAAATGAACCTAAAAGCACATTTTAATAATTAATCAGGAAAAGAAAAGCCCTTTTTGGGGGGGGGGGATCTTAAAGCCTTTTTGTTCTCTCCCCTCCCTAATTTTCCTTGCACCCCAAAATAACACTTTACTTGGTGGGGAGGGGTGGGAGAGGATGATGTCTTCAGTGGGAATCACAATATGAGACAGCCCCCTGTGGTTATTATACTTATATACTGGGGGAGGAACAGGTTAGGCAAGGTTGGAGGGGACTGTCTCATCTACGGTATGTATGCTGGTTATCCAGGTAGGGAAACTTTGAATGCCTTGATTTGAAAGAGATTTATTTCAGATGAAATCTGGATTATCTGAAATTGACAAATTGTCAGGGATCTTGGAATCGAACACCCCCTTCCTCAAAAAAGGGCAAACTGGGAAAATAAAAAAACAGCGAGTATAGGTATAAACTAGCTCTTAAAATAATGTGTTGTGATAGTATTCTGATAGCACCCACTGAAAGCAAGATAAAAAGAACAAAGTTCTCTGCAGCCAGGGCACTTAGAGAGAATGCTACCCAGGTTACATTTAATTGCTCCTTAATCACCTTCTGTGTATTAAGGTTTGCTCTCCAATCAGACTGTATGCTTTATAAAATCAGGATATTTGTCTATATTACAGTGTTAGGGATTTTCATAAGTCTGGTAGGTCTAATTGTACAATTTTCCAACATTTTATTCATTGTAAGACAAAAGAAAGCCTTATGGTTATTAAACTGAAGACTAAAAGAAAATATTAGCCTCTTATATGGTCTAATGGGTTCCCCCAGTGGCTTCGGAAAACCAAGGGCTCACTGAATGCTAAAGTAGTTCTCACAGCACTGTGAGGAGAGCAGGGAACTTACCCCCTCCTTCTGATGCCTATGTTTTAGCTCACTTTCTCAAACACCTCTTTTTTTTTGGGTTCTGAGCTCCTAATGTGGCATTCATTTCCTTTTCCAAACCGGTGTGCGCATGGGAACAGACAAGAGAAAGTCAAGACGGCAAAAATTCTTTGACCACGTGTTCTAGTTGGAGGAACATCATATGACAAAGCAGTTTTAGTCCCCAAAATACTGAAGTTAAAAAAATATTTAGGGCTTCAGGTCACTACCTTGAGCCTTCTGAAGTCATTGACATTAGTAATTACAATTGAGGATTATGAAAAAGGGTAAGCTTATTAAGCTGTAACAGACTGACTGAAAATCTGATTTGTCCAATTGCAGGCCCCAGCATATTTATTTATATTTTTACTGAGGCATTTTTGTAGATGTGAATTCTTAATCCAGAGAAATATATTTCATGGTGGAAACTTCATGCATTAAAGCAGCTATATAGGGGCTTCCCTGGTGGCGCAGTGCTTGGGAGTCCGCCTGCCAATGCAGGAGACGCGGGTTCGTGCCCCGTTTCGGGAAGATCCCACATGCCGCGGAGCGGCTGGGCCCGTGAGCCATGGCCACTGAGCCTGCGCGTCCGGAGCCTGTGCTCCGCAAATGGGAGAGGCCACAACAGTGAGAGGCCCGCATAACGCAAGAAAAAAA